CGTGTTATGATTTTCGCATGGATAGGTTATCCACCACTGACCCGACTGTGTAACGAGAACGCCAAAAACATTATAGGTAAAGATCAGATAACTTGATTACTGTCATTTACTTGTATGAACTCGCCCCACCCTTTCATTCTTCTTCTTTCTTCATTACCCAACCCATTTTTAATCTGACCTTTACAGGGATTAGCTAAACTCGTGCAAAACCCTTTCATCACATTTATTAGATCAATATCTGTATAACTGTGTTGTATCTGCATGGTTAATGAAGCATGGAAAATCAGTATATCTGCCACTCTTTTTTTCTAAATGTATATCAACGGAATTCTTGACTCTGACGGCCATCAATATGAAGTCCCTTACAGTTGTAGCATTTCTTTCTTTCTCCACAATATACGAGGCCCCGCGATAGAATATTACAGCCATATGTGAGGCAGGGCCCGTTCTTCCAGTTGGTTACTCCGGCCCGTGATCAGTGCGAACCCATTTAGCTTGTCGCCGATTCGTCCCCAAGATCCACTTTCAGCCACTCTATCATTTCTGTGTGATTACTTCAATACTCCTGCGGCAGCGTTATTACCGAGGAGCTCACCAACTTGGCCCCCTCGTCATTTTTATTGCCCCATGAGACCGATCACAAGACCTTCAATACTACATGACTCTAAGCGTCCGTCGAACGATAACGTTTAAATTCATTTTTACAAAAACCGCGGAACAGTGGAATATTCTTCCTTGATCTATTTCTCCTCTAACTTTTCTTGTAACAAAACGAGGAACCAATAAAATGAGTTTAATCATTCGCGTTGCATAGTGGCTTTTGCGCTTACGAGGTTTGCCCCTTTACCGTGCATTATGCCTGTCACATAGTCTTAAATATTCGCATTTTCATCTGTTGGTCAGTGTGCGTAGCTGTAAATAACAGGTCGATTGGACATTCAAATACCTGGGAATGCTCCCAGTCATGTTGTGTGAAAGATTCGGCAAGCATACCTGAGATCCTTCTACATTGGCCGCGCTGAATGCTGTGTCATAAACGGTCCAAGGTCGGGCTGACTTGGGCTCACCCCGAAGAGTAGAGCTCACTGAAGCTGCAGATCGCTTCACCGGTTTCCCAGTGACGCGCGTGAGGGATGGATAGTGAGGCATCGTGCGGCCTGTGTGTGTACCGGATCGACGCACAGCAGTTGCCTCCAGCACATCCGGATCCGCGTTCAATGAGCTGAGCGAGCCGGATAGGCTGTTTCCATTCACAGTGGTTCGACGTTGCTGACTGCTCCGACGCCGAGGACTCGCATTCGATGGAGGTCGGGATAAAGATGAGCTCAAACGCTCGCGCAACGCCACATTTTCTCGTTCCAGCTTGCGGCGTTCGTGCGCTGCCTGAGTCTCGTAACGCTGGATATTCAGTTGTAGTTTACGCAACTGGAAAGGAGCATAAAAATCGAATCAGTGAAAAACAATAAGGAAAGTGAAGCAATACGAATAACTGGGGTGAAGTAGTGCACGAGCCAAATCAAACTGGGCAATTCATAACAAAAGAAAGTCGTTAAATTAAATAAAATCGGACAGAAGAGTTTGAGTGCTACGAATTCGGAGCAAATAACCAGAGTGGAGCGCTTGGATTTTCCGAAAAACTGACACCACCCGAGCCCCAGTAAAACGAGTGCTCGACGCTAGTGTTCAAGCAGTTTATTTAACCGTCATTGGAGTGCATTCGGGGCCGAAAGTCCGAGGTTCCAACCTTAGCACCACGCCCAGCCAACTTTATTGGTACGCAGCTCGTTTGACTGAAGACTAATTTTATCCTAGTGGTAGTTCAGCATCCCAAGCATCGAGGCTTTGGCTACCGGTTATATTCAGTGAACAGCAGATCCTCGTGAGCATGTAGTTTACCATTTCTACAATCTATCTACAGAGGTCTGAAAAGCAATCCACCAAAGTTCATTCCTTACCATTGCGCTTTAAATGGGAATAGTCGATGCACCACAGTCTTCCTCAACTCGAAAGTGCGACGTTTGTTACACCTGTGTTGAGTGTATCATAGCTGACAGACTGGCAAAATCATTAGTGTATTACAGATCTCATAGAGTTTCCCCGGTCATCGAGTCAGCATCAGTGAGCCTTGGGAGAGACCGCCCGCGCTTCGTTTAGGATGACAGTGAACAGAAATGGCGGTGCAAAACCCGTGCGAGAATGGAGCAGTTCTATAAAGATCTGAGAAACGAAAACGAACGCGATGAAAATCCCACTATTGAATTCAGATGAAAATGCATTGTAATCACATCGTTTAAGTCTCGGTGCGTTGCGTGCGATGAAACTATTATAAATGAAATTCTTTCCTAAAACCTTTGATGAAAAGCAGCCTGCAGTAAAAAGTTGACCCAGTGCCAACCTGATTTAGAACGATGCCAGAGGTAGGAGTTCGTATACGACTGCGCCCGGTTTCGGGACATTGTCTGGAACATTTATCGAGATAGATAGATACCCCGAACGCCTTGGCCTTCGGAATCCGAGTACTATGAATACTGAAGAAGGTTTGGAGCACATGCCGTCACGTGTGGACACAGCCAAATCTATAGTGAGTCAGTTGCTTCAATTTTCTCATTTAAATGCCTCAGACTAGATAGTAACCGAATGTTATATATATCATACTCTGAGGTAATCAAGTACGGGTCTTCATTGACATGGGAGCCACCTGTTTGGTAGTCTGCAGTGACCAAGTACCGTATGTGCCATTCGACAAGACGCAAATTAGACCGATGACGGTCAGAAGTAGCTCCATACATGTCAAAAGCACAGTGACAGTGCCTGTCATACTGAACCACACTTTTATATCACACGCACTAATTGTGCCTGATGATCTACGGTGGGAAGGTCGCCTTAGGAATGGACTTTCTTCAAAGAAATAGGGCAGTAATACACATAACCAAGCGCCGGATCACCCCGCGGGTAACAGTAACCGAATCAAACAACTCATGTCAGATTCACTACTGCAAAACGGCCCTGTATATGAATGACATGGAGAGGTTGTTAAACAAGTTTCACAATGCGTTCGCGTAGTCCGATACAGGGATCGGAAGGAGTGCGTTCTGGAAACATTGTATGAATATCAGTGGAGCCCACTCGGGTCGCATACCTCCCGGTCGTGTGCAGTAACACTACCAAAACAACTACTTCATACAAGAGATGCCCAACTGTGACATTACTCGGCCTTTTTCCTCCCGATATGTATCCGCAATAGTCCTAGTCAAGAAACACGACGGATGGCTCTAAATCTGCATCGACTACCGGAAGCTTAACAAAACTATAAAGAAAACTACTTCCCGCTCCTATACGCTGGGTACTGTGCCGTTTTACGTGGGGAACGTGTGAACTGTAGTCTTGGAAATTATTTAACCCGCCATATCTGTTCACTGCATTNGCAGATACAGGAGAACCTACTGGTGAAGAGAACACAACAACAACGCGAATGAAGAGCGATACTTCTCAGTCTCCCGCGTCCCACGACTTTACGTTCAAGTATGCACGTCTATCCCCTTATAATCCCACCAGTTTACCTGTTGCTCGGTCTAACCTTGCCCAACATATACTCACTGCTCTCTATCGCCGTATATTCTTTCTGTGTAGACTATTTCATAATGAAATGTTGAGTCCTACATGTGTGTGTGTGATTGCAGTGGTTGTGGAATACACCAGCTACGTATCTGTGGCTTATACGTATGCCTAAGTTGCAACCAAAATCATTACAGCTCCCTTGTATCCTTGTTTGTTCCAGTGGGGAGTAAACCATCCGTTGGCGTTTTGCATCTTCAAAGTGTAAAATGTTGCGTCGATCTAGTCCACAACCTCACTCTAATTGGGGACGTAGTAGAGGGAGTAGATAAATCTCGCTAATTGAACAGCTACATCTCACCTGACGGACGCGTCACAAACGAAGTATCGGCTGGCAAACAGAACAATCAATTGGCGTTTGTTAATTCAAGACATCTGTGGCACTGATGCGATATACGTGAATGTGCTAAACATGTCACCGGTGTAAGTCGTTTGTCGAGAGCGGTAGTGGACGGAAGAAAGTAAGGGTTGGTCAAACTAAGACCTGGGATGAAGGTATGGAAACCCTAACGAGAGACTCAATCATGTAGGTCGCGTTAGGCTCCCTGAATGGTCACCGATGATTAAAGACGCTGAGTGACAACATTTCGATCATCCCTCTGCTATTTTATCCGAATGGGTAACTGAAACGGGCGCTCCAACGTCCATGGTTAATGGTGGCAAACACTGAAATTTCAAAGCATGTAATCAATTTAAATCCGAAACATCGTAAAGAGTATAAACCCCGAACTCGACACGATCCGAAACAGTCCGTATGTAAAAGGTAAACTATAAAGGGAAAACAGGAGCCCAAACAAACTTCGTCTGTGTTTGATTTCAATTTTCCGTTAAGCGCTTTCTTCTCCGCTTCCAATCGTCGTTCTCGTTCCTTGGCCATGGCGTTGGCATTTTGCGACTCAGTCAAATTGTCCTGACATCGTTTGTACATTTTTTGCAACTGGGTCAGATCCCCTTCAACACGTCGAAGTCTACAACAGAGAGAGAGAGAGAGCGAATTAGTGCAGCCGATTTAGGTGCAGGTAACGAAACGGGAAAGGAGTCATCACATGCCAGGCGGTTCATCACGCAAAATGGAAAAAAGACAAACGTTGTTCCACCCAGCTCGTGTGGATGGGCGAGAGATATCAAGCGCGAATCGAAGTGTGCCCGGTTCGGGATACTTGGCCTCATGCTGACATCATGCACTATGGTCACGAAAGCTTGGATAGAGTGCTGAGGTCGTAGACCGCTAGAGAGTTAAACTACATCTCGAAACGAAGCTGAATCTTTCCCATATAGGTTACTCTAATGGAATATGAAAGTCTAAATGTTGCACTCCAAAATTCGAGGGCAGTAAGGTGAAAGCATGAGGTGAATGGGGGGGAATAATGTTTTCTTAAATTATTCAGGTTCTGATTTGCTTGAGACCAACCCCGTTGAGCCCGTGGATCTATATGAGACACTTATGCTAAGCTTGAAGGGAATGGGTACGGATAGTCTGACACAGACCAGGTGTAACACAAACCATTCGGGAGCGTTTGTAAGCGGAGTAAGGTCAGACCCACCTGTCACACTTAATCAGGCAAATCTCTGCTTCTCTACCAGGATCTACCTATCCGCCAGAACAATCACATCTGCAAGCAAAATGAGGGTTGTGGAAGCTTTTCCATTGAACCAGTCATGTATGATTTTCCCTTTAATCACTCTTGATCGACCATTTCCTGCAAACTGTAAGCATTATGTGTATCAACTGGGTTTTCTTGGGAACCAAACACTGAACGATGTCCCCAGTACTGGTTGGGCATGTTTAGATACTGCATTGCACAGTTCGGAGTAGGAGGTAGGTTAAAAGAACCTTGTGGTCCAGGGTGGCAACGCCATCTTCTGCACACACTAGAGTCACGTGCAAGACAGCCAAGTTAATCCAGACGAGGCGGTGGCTTATTGCGCAGTGCATTCGTCTCTTCCGGAAAGCTATGTTGAGCGCGACACAATCGGTGACCTCAATAAGTGACTGGTAGCAATCACCGCAAGCAGTGCGGTCTACGCATAAACACGGCCACCGTTCTACAGTGGCTAGCGCTAGCCAAGCAAGACTACATTGCATATTCAAGCGCTGCCACTGACCGTGCGCGACCACTTATTCGGTGAGCTTGTGCTCACCTTGCTCACGATTAACCATCAATGACCGCGTTAAAGCCCAGGACATGACGACTCTGTGTGCTGCAGCCGATATATTATCAGCGGAGCGTGTGGCTTGGTTGGTGCTACCCGACCTGATTTCAGGACACGTGGATGTGATCCGATACCAACCTGCTGCTCCTCGCCAATGAGCCATTTATTTTGGTATGCTTGGCCTACAAAAGATTTCACATACAAGTGCACAAAAACAAGCAATTGTGTTTCAGATGCGTGGCACGGATGTGCAAACAAACAATTCTGACAGCATCAGAAACTTAACAGAAACAGATTCAGTAATAAACCATTAACGATTCAAACACGCATGCACGCTCACACTGTATTTTACGGATAAGGTGCCAAAATAATCACGAATTGAAAGAAAGCACCAAGCTCGGTTAGAGGTAAACATCACATTGGTTTATTTCTTTTCTCTTACTGCACACAATTTCGATTTTGCTTTTCTACCTTTTTTGTAGGGAGTACGAGGGCGGCAAAATGCATTCTCGCCACGGACTTCTTTTTTTGTGCCATATTCCATAGTGTCTGTAACCAATAGCAGGATGAACATTCGCGTCCCCAGTACACGACTGTTTCCAGGGCAAGGGTAGACACCAGAGTTTGTTATGTTAAGTAACACCTTTTCAAGACAATCTATGGCAAAGCGAAGGATGTTATGTGCAGCCTAGATATACGATTGAAATCAGCACCTCTTGCTTACCCTCCCCCCCNCCCCCCCCCCCCCCAACAGTATTGGGGAAGAAAAAACACAACTGGCGAATGACAGTCAGAGTATATTGGGTGATCATGGTACGACAGGCGCATACATGGTGCAAATAGAACACACGAGAACGACACAGTGACACCAGTCAGAATGCCTCATTGACTATTCAGTAGAACGCACAATCGTTGTCTGAGCGGTTCTACAAACATTTAATCCGGACTGCAATTGTCGTTCATGCTGCGAGCACCCTTGGGGAGTGGTGTAGTCTCGTGCGCGACCTAACGCGTTTTGCAAGCTACGTCCGTCCACAGAGAAGGGAAACGGAGATGTAGGGCAACCTTGTCGTACCCCTAACTTCCCCTGGAGGTCTGATGGTGAAGCGCTTTTAGGAATATAATCTATGTTTCAGCTAATCCGCAACTCGATAAGCATTTCCGTAGAGCAGGCCGATCGACAGAGTCGAGTAACTCTGATGTCTTCATAAACGACGGCTTCGCTAGGATTAAACGCGTTTCCGAGCAATAGGATTCAGTTCACTCATCTTTGTGACGCAGTTTTCCAAGTCGACTAAAAGCTGCTTTGTCCTTCCCAAAGGTGAAATCACGAATGTATAGACGAGCGTCGGATCAATATCTCACGTCGCGTCAGTGAAAAAATGAACGCCCGGTTGTGAACAGAGCCTCTATAGTGATCAAACTAGGGATAGGCAAAAACCGGTGATCCGAAACACGGTACATCACGGAACACACGTCTGTTGCTGAGACGGAGCAAATCGGGACAAAACAACCGAAAAAAGTGCGA